TGTTCGGGCCTTTTCTGCAGTATTTTGTGCATGTTGAATCTATTGGTTCGGTAGTTTAAAACTACCGAACACCGACCACCCTTCTGGCTCAGTAACTTCAAAAGAACCATCTATTAAGCACTCTCTGGGCGGCCGCTGTTCGTATAGCACGAAAGGAGGCAGCGGGACTTGGTCGTCAAGTGTCTGGAACTAAAATCAGACACTCGACCTCCCGAACCACCACTGAAACTACCGAACGCCTGCTTCCTTTAGTTGTCAAACAGCCAGGAGAGCGCCATTCGGTAGTTTTGTTCATACAGACAAGGGGAGCAATCGCTCTTATGAGCCAGGAGGATCCATTCGGGACTTTTATTCGTTTTATGCCTTTTTCTGAACTGACCGACCGCACATGCTGAATTCGTGGAACTGTTTTGGACAGGAGCCTCGTGTGTGGTCGGTAACTTGTGACTTCCATACTTTTTAAGAACCCCTGAACCGATCTGGGTGAAATTTGGATATGTTGGTCCCCCAGATCGGGGCTATAAGGGGATATAATTTGTGGGGATACCTTGTGTGGAAAGGGGTGTTCTAACTTTTGGGAAAATTGTGTGCCCTCTGCCTGGAGATAATTGGGTTATTCCTTAACTTATCTCAATATCTCCCAGGCAGAGAGAAGGCGGAGGTTACTGTAAAGCTGTATGTTGATTGGTTATTGTCTTTGTTTACTGTGGGAGGTCCTCTTGCAGGAGGATTTCTCATAAAAGCCAGTGTGTCATCAATAAATGTTAAGACACCCCTGGTGTCTTTAAGGGAAACCGCCGTTTAGTTAACCTTCCCCTTTCGCAATATCAGTAACTCCGTATTGCAGTATACGATTTCTATTTGCTGGGGAGAATCATCTTGGAAGCTGCATTCATCCACACTATTCCTCTACCTCCTAACTGCAGTTATAATCACTTATGCTCAGCTATTGGGGAAGGAATAGAAGACCGCAGTACCATAACCACTGCAGGTCTTAACACGCATCTTGCGTGTTGGATCTAATGAAATAAACACGGGATCCATCCTGGACTATCGGAAAACTGTCATCTTTAATGATTGTGTGACTTATTTTTATAATGTGCGGCCCAGCACCGCCATAAAATAGGTAACTTTTCAGAATAGAGTTAGATGTAGCGAAATAACTAGCGGATAATAAGTGATGCGACTATAAGCCAGCAATCTCTCCTGTTTGTTGGAGGGAAAGGTGACGGGACAGGCCACCCTCAGATTAAATGCTAATATTTTATATTACATGCAATTTCTATCAGATAAAATAGATCGAACCGAGTGAATGTCAGTGTAAGTATGATCTCTAAAGACAGTAGCACAGAATGACACAATCTAACTGCAGGGGGCGCCTGGGAGTCATACAAACAGGAGGGGGGGGGAGGAAGGTAGTGAGGAAGTAAGAGAATTAACAATGATTTTTTTTTTTAGGGTGGGAACTGGGAAGTGAAAGTAAGAAAGAAGCAAAGCAGAGCTCGGGCAAGAGTGGTCAGCGGTGCAGTGAGTGGGGAGCTGTCATCAGGGAATGTCTCTCTCAACAAGGTAGGAAATAAGGAGGGGGCAACAATCACACACCGACACCCAATGTTATAATACACCGACACACAATGTTATAACACACCGACACACACTGTTATAACACACCGACATACAATTTTATAACACACTGACACACACTGTTATAATACACTGATACACAAAGATATAACACACTGACACCCAATGATATAATACACTGACACACAATGTTATAATACACTGACACACAATGATATAACACACTGACACACAATGTTATAACACATTGACACACAATGATATAACAAACTGACACACAATGTTATAATACACTGACACACACTGTTATAATACAATGACACACACTGTTATAATACAATGACACACAATGTTATAACGCACTGACGCACACTGTTATAATACACTGACACACACTGTTATAATACAATGACACACAATGTTATAATGCACTGACACACACTGTTATAATACACTGACACACACTGTTATAATACACTGATGCACACACCCAATGATATAATGCACTGACACATAATGTTATAATACACTGACACACAATGTAATAACACACTGACACCTAATGTTATAATATACTGACACATATTGTTATAATACACTGACACACAATGTTATAATACACTGACACTTAAAAAAAATCATGCAAATCGGTTCAGGGGTTCGAAAGTTAGATGGAAGTCCCATTTCTGCCCAGCCACACACAAGGCTCCTGCCCAGAATAGTGCCATGAATTCAGCTGGTGCGGCCGGTCTCTTTCGTGCAATATATAATGTCGATTTACAGTTCACATAATAGTTAATGCGTGTGATAGTCGTGTGCCGCTTCATTCGTTTGCTATTTCTACCGTAGGCCGCCTTCTTCAGGTGCATTATCACGAATCTAAGTGGTCCTGGAAGTCCCAGCGGTGTTCGGGCCATTGCGTGTCTGAAAATAGTTCCAGACACTCGACAACCAAATCCCGCATTCGACAACACAAGATGGCCACCGCCACGTGTTCGTGCATACGAATCGACGGCCACCCAGGGAACCACTTAGAACATTGGAGTTGCGGTTTGGCATAAAGTCAAATGAGTCAATTGACGGCACACGACTGGCTTGGGTGGTCGAACGATCAGTAAAATGTTCGGTATACGAACAAATTGGGTACAGTTTGTTAGTTTTTTAATTCATATGCCGGGTTAGGTGAAGGATATTGCAACAAGGAGTTCAGACAGTAACAAAATTATAATCCAATGAACAGGGCATCTGTTACACACACTGACACACAATGTTATAACACACTGACACAAAACTTAACATTAAACTTAACACATATTGTCATACAGGGTAACCCATCCGTCCTTGCCAATAAACTGACCATGCGCCTATGTACCACTTCCTCTCACCTCCCCCCTCGACATAAACTCCTTTTCCTTCCAATGCTTACCACCAGCCGACCTTTTCCACGCTCGGTGGGCACGACATAACCTAAGGTTAACCCTTTAGAGCAGGGGAGGTTGAGACCTGAAAAATTGTTCACTTCATTCCACATAATTATCATAACCACCTCAAACTTAATTGGCAAGGACATATTCCCCCTGGCTAGCTGCGACAAAACAAACCCATGGGGCGAGCGGTAGGGAAGCTGTTTGCTGGCCCGAATCCAAAGTGGCACTGAGGTAAGACCACCCCCCACTAACTCACACACCACATAATCCCACCCACACATACATACCCAACAAATCACACGCATCTATCCCCACACTCATACATGTGCCCTTGTAAGCTTAGCTATCTCCCCAGGGCCTTGAACAGAGCCTTTCAAAGTATTTTAGCCAGGTCTATTGCAGGGGCCATAGTCACAAGGGCCAGTGACGAGGTCCTCCAAGAGCCAGTGATGAGGTTCAGTTAATCACTAATATGTGGTTAACAGCCAGGGGAGGTCAGTGTTCGGGGAGGTATAAAAGGGGGACCACACACCATCCATTCGGGAGATGAACAAGGGGTTACGGACAACTGAATAAAAGGGAATGAAGTGTGCTACAATACCACACACTGACACAATGATATAGTACACTGATATACACACAATGTTATATTACAGTGACACACAATGATATAGCACACTCACACCCAATGATATAACATACTGACACACAATGATATTTTTTTTTATTTTTTTTAACAGTGTCAGTGTATTATAACATTGTGTGTCAGTGTATTATAACAATGTGTGTCAGTGTATTATAACATTAGGTGTCAGTGTGTTATATCATTGGGTGTCAGTGTGATATATCATTGTGTGTCAGTGTATTATAACATTATGTGTCAGTGTGTTATATTATTGTGTGTTATTACACACTGACTCATAATGTTATAATATGCTGACACACACACAGAATGTAATAATACACCGACACATAATGATAAAATACGCAATTTTATAACACACTCACACACAATAATATAACACACCGACACATATACACAGTGTTATAATACACCAACACACAGTGTTATAATACACCGACACACAATGATATGATACATAATGGTATAACACAGTGACACACAATGATATAACACACTTACACACGCATGCAATTTTATAACACACTGACACACACAATGTTATAATACATTGACACACATATACATAACACCCTGACACACACTCAATGATATAACATACTGACACACACATAGAATGATAAAACACACTCAACACCACACAATATTTCAACACACTAACACACACAATGTTATAACACACTGACACACACACAATTATATAAGACACACAGACACGCACAGTGATAAAACACACTGATATTCACATACGTTGAAATATGAACACATTGCAATTAGTACAAACACACTGATATACACACAAATAAACACACTGATATAACACCGACACACTGATATAACGCACATATACACACTGTGTCTGATATTAAATGTTCGCTCTAAACATCATAATTATTGAGATTACTGCGCATATGATGGTGCAGAGAGTACCCTGCTCCCTCTGGCACACTTTTACTGACTGACCCAGCCACGCACATCAAATCACATAACATGCTTCACAACACTGCAGCCAAACTGTGTGTAAAGCGATAACCGCCGTGGTATGCCGCTTTCATTCTATACAGTAGTTCCAATCATCTTGTGTAATGAATGTAATTGTGGCAGAAGGATACATTACATATTATTATTATTATTATTGCCATTTATATAGCGCCAACATATTCTGTAGCGCTTTACAATATTATGAGAGGGGGGATTTAACTATAAATAGGACAATTACAAGAAAACTTACAGGAACGATAGGTTGAAGAGGACCCTGCTCAACCTTATAGGAGGTGGGGTATAAGACACGTTAGGACAGAAAATATCAATCAAATAGGGTGGGAGTGAAGCAGAGCTGGAGTAGAGGGTAGAGAGAGCAAGAGACAGGTATGTAAGGTAGAGGTTACTCTGGGAGGCCATATGCTTTCCTAAGGCTCTTCTTAAATGATTGAAGACTAGGGGAAAGTCTGATGGCGGTAGGCAGGCTATTCCATAGGAAAGGAGCCACCCGCAGAGGTCCTGCAAGCGCGAGTTGGCTGTATGGGTGCGAGGTGGTCACGGGCAGAGCGGAGGGAACGAGGAGGGGCATACCTATGGATCATTGAGGAGATATAAGAAGGGCTAGAATTGTTCAGTGCTTTAAATGTATGGGTTAGCACTTTGAATTGACAGGGAGCCAATGTAAGGACTGGCACAGGGGTGATGTGTGAGAGGACCGACTAGAGAGGAAAATCAGTCTAGCTGCAGCATTCACTACAGACTGTAGCGGGGCAATACGGCTTTTGGGGAGACCAATCTGGAGAGGGTTACAATAATACATGCAGGAAATTACTAGAGCATGGACAAGCTCTTTGGTCGCATCTTGCGTAAGAAAGGGGCGGATGCGGGCTATGTTTTTGAGTTGGAACCGACAGGATTTGGCAACAAACTGGATGTGAGGCTCAAAGGTGAGGCCAGAGTCAAGTATGACGCCAAGACAGCGTGCTCCCACTAACCCCTCTTGAACTGGACATTACATATCCTATTAACCCTCTGACCCCCCCACCCACCTGGACATTACATATCTCATTCACCGCTGCTGGACTGGACATTACATTTCCAATTAACCGCTGCTGCACTAGACATTGCATATCCCATTAACCCTGCTGGAATGGTCATTACATAGACCATTAACCCCTCCTGGAATTGACATTACTAGGCATGTGCATGGGGAAAATCTTCGGTTCGATTCGGCATTCCGAAATTTGGGACTTTCGCAATTCGAAATTTCGGGACTTCGCCACTTCGGGACTTCTCTTGCAGCCGCTTAGTAAATAACTCCATAATTCCCCCCTGAGCGGCGAGTGGGGGCCCTAAATACCAATAGGGGACCTATTGTGCGCAACCAAGCACAAAAAAAAAATAAATCCATCTTCACCCGGCGAGGGCTCCGCGCAGACTGAGCTCTGCAGGGTGGGGGAAGGCTTATAAAGCCTTGCCCCGCCCTGCAATTAGGCTCCGAGCACACTGATTGGTGGGTTTAAACCATCCAATCAGAGTGCTCTGACAGGTAAATGAAGAGACTGACAGGTAAGTCTCTACATTTACCTGTCAGAGCACTCTGATTAGTTGGTTTGAAATCCACCAATCAGAGTGCTCTGTGTCATTTTACACAGCGTGGGAAAGTTCTTTGGAATTTTCCCACGCTGTGTAATTTGACTCGTAACTCTCTGATTGGTTACTTAATCCACCAATCAGAGTGTTAAGTTTTATTTTTTTTAAAGGTACTTAGTTAAAGGTCCCCCCCCCATTATTTTTAGGGTGAGGGGGGTAGGTAGGGGGTTAATTTTTTTTGGGGGGGGTGGGGGTGACTAGGGGTTTGGGGACCCCTAGTCGCCTGGGGGGGTAACATTTTTATTTATGGCCCCCACCCGCCACTCAGGGGTGGGGGCCGGGGGGGAGGACATTAGGTCACCCCCTTATTAGTATTTAGGGCCCCCACCCACCGCTCAGGGGTGGGGGCCGGGGGGAGGATATTAGGTCCCCCCCCATTCCAATTTAGGGCCCCCACCCACCACTCAGGGGGGAGGACATTAGGTCCCACCCCTTATTAGTATTTAGGGCCCCCACCCACCGCTCAGGGGTGGGGGCCAGGGGGAGGACAATCGGTCCCTGCCCACATTATTTTACATTAGGGCCCCTACCTGCTGCTCAGGGGTGGGGGGTGGGGGCCGGGGGGGGCAATAGGGAGGAGGGACCTTTTTTTTTGTTTTGTTTTTTGTTTTTTTAACAGTGAGCGGCCAGTGACTGCTCACTGTTTAATAGACATGCCCCTACTCGTAGTATAGCGAGTAGGGGCATAATTTACTAATACTAAGTAATGTTTACTTAGTATTAGTAAATTTGTCTGAAAGACCAATTTAGGTCTTTCAGCCTGTTAGTAAATAGCTTCCCAATACCGTGGGAATTAGGGCGTTATCTACTTATTCATTCCTGTCATTACATTGACTGGTTAAGTAACTTACATTTTATATGAATGTGTGTTACTTGATTGTTGTAAGTGTTGCAAATGCTTACAGCTGAATCCTGGCTATGTTTGTATACTTTTTATTTACACTGGTATACAGTGTAACATTCTTCATTCTTCCACTGGGTAAGTATATTAGTACTTAGGCAATACTGTGCTTCGCAACTTCGGCAACTTCGGCACTTCAACACTTCGGAAATTCGGTAATTTCGTAACTTTGGGACCTTGGCAATTCGGACTCAGGTATTGGCCGAAATTCGTCCAAATTCATATTCAGACCGAAACGAATTGCACATATCTAGTCATTACATATACCATTAACGCCTCCTGGACTGGACATTACATACATGATTAACCCCTGCAGGACTGGACATTACATACACCATTAACCCCTCCTGGACATTACATATCCCATTAACCGCTGCTGGACTGGTCAATACATTTCCCATTAACCCCTTCTGGTCATTACATATCCCATTAACTCCTGCTGGACTGGTCATTACATACACCATTAACCCCTGCTGGACTGGTCATTACATACTCCATTAACCCCTCCTGGACTGGTCATTACCTACACCATTACCCCTCCTGTACTGGTCATTACATACACCATTAATAACCCCTCCTGGACTGTACATTACATATCCCATTAACCCCTGCTAGACTGGTCATTACTTACCCCATTAACCACTCCTGGACTGGACATAACATATCCCATTAACCCCGGCTGGACTGGACATTGCATACACCATTAACTCCTCCTGGACTGGACAAAACATATCCCATTAACCACACTGGACATTGCATATCCCATTAACCCCTCCCCCCGGACATTACATATCCCATTAACCCCTCCCCTGGACATTACATATCCCATTAACCCCACCTGGACATTACGTATCCCATTAAGCCGTGTTGGACATTACATGTCCCATTAACTCCTCCTGGACTGAACAAAACATATCCCATTAACCCCTTGTAACAGATCGACGGGCACCCCGACTGGGTACCTCCGTTGAAGGACGCTCCTAGCGCTTCCTGAGGGCTCCAAGCACTCCAGCCGACACCATAACCACTGTAGACTCCTCCAGAGAGCAAGACAGGAACAAGCTCTTACAAGAGCTTAGTGATTATAGCAAGAGAGTATGACAAGCATAGCAATCCCTTGTAGCAGATTTCCCCAATAAGAGACGGCACTCCAAATTGAGGGTGAAGTAGAACTGAAGCTTTTAATCAAACACTCTGCTTTTATGCACATTTTACACACACAGTACTGCCCACAGGGTTTTGCAGAACAACCAAAACATTATCAATAGAGTGGCCCACCCACAAGAATTTGTTACTGCACCTGGGGTAGTGGGTAGCTTGTCCATGTCCAGGGGCTCTACCACGGCTCTGGGGGGGTACTAGCCTTCCGGATCGGTGGGTTGCTGAGTGGGCAGAGACCAGCGGTACTCTGCCCTGGTGCCAGCGCTACCACGGGAGTAGCCTGTTTGGA